GAAAATGAATTCATCTCTTCAGAAAAAAGTAGCATAATCGATACTTTAATTATTGTTTGTTTTTAAATTATTTGCATTTACAAGTTAAAAGTTGCTAGTAATAATAAAACTTTGAAAATCATGCCGACTGATAAAATTATTTAGTAATGGACCTAGGAATCAATGAAACACTTTCAATTTTTATATGGATTAGATTAAACTCATATAACTAATCACTGTCTATTATCTGATAGAATTGACAATATAACTGTTTTTATGATTTCTAACCTTATAAAATTTCAAAGGCAATTTGTGAGCCAAGTTAAGCAGCTTTAAGAAATTAACATAATGACACTAAAAATGTAATTTTGTGACGACCCTAAGATCTGCAATCATGACCAATTTAGCCCTGAACACCTGCGCCAACGTTAGAATCTGTTCTCAATTCTTGAATATAATCGGTATTCCCTTCTATTACTTTAATTGGCTAGTTTTTAATCAATTATGCGTTTACCATGCATTATCTAATATAAGATGTTAACACTTTTGAAGCCTAGAATGGAATGCAGCGGGAGGATTTATAATGCAACTGGAGAAAGTGAGGATGTCAGGATCTCTGTTCCAATAAATGGAACGAGCATAGCTTCATCAGAGATGGTTAGCTCAATTGCAATCCTACAACGACAGATTAACAGACTCTTGACAGACAAAATTGAACCCAATGCGCCAGTGGTTGGTAATTCTGATAAGGAGTGTGTTCCTGTTCTAGATTTTGATGAAGAACAAAGTACCGAATTTGGTGAATAATAATTCTTGTATTGTTAATTTTGTAAAGATCACGCATTCAAGATATAAAATAAATTTTACAAAAATCAAGTCATTTGAAAGCCTTTTTATGTCCTCATTAGAGAAGGAGATTCTTTTCTGAAGCCATATTCACAAGATCGTTTAGAATCCTAAAATAAATTAGATGAGACATAAGTGGGAACTTTTGGATCCTGCTTAAGACTAAATGATTGATACTCACTCTTCTAGATTCCGAACAGTTTCTAGGGCACTTTTATACTTTGAGTTTGCCTCAGCGAGAGCTTCTCTGGGTGCTGACCATATTGTACAGGGATTGGGCAGTAAAACTCGTTGGTAGACTTCCCTCCAAACGTTCTACACAGAGAAAAAAAACAAAAAAAATACAAGCCGCTTACCATTCACAATGGAAACCAGCATCATTCGAAATGGAACTTACAATTGCATGCGAGTTTACGCAAGGCCAGCATATTTTCGAGTCGGGGTCAGCATCTTTGTCAGGTGGAGCGTATAAACAATTTTGAATTGTTTTATTCACCTCCGGGCTGCTTATATACGACCTAAAATGGGGATTAACAAAGCACGGTATTCAATGTACCAAAACGAGGGTTTCTTTTTCAAATTTGGAATGTTCTTTCGCATTGCATCACAGTCACCAATAAAGCTTGCTGAAAGAAAAGTTAAACGGAGAGGGCTAAAAATTACCGAAATCACAGAGGTAGACGTGTCTGACCAAAAGAAGGAGCAATTCTTCGTTGAACTCGAAAGAACTTGGATATTGGGACCATATCTGGGTTCAAATGTAATAAGATTTCAGGTTAAATAACAAATCCGCGGAAAGGAAACGCGTACAAAGTATGCATATGAAAATTCTAGTAAACGGATATAATACGCATCGGTGCAACCAAATAGAATATATGCTTCCAAATTTGGAAAAGATCAAGACTTCAGTCTCCTTTGCAAAATGGCAGACGCAAAAATTGCGACCGGGGGTGTGCGATAGACTTACCTCCACGTGGTGCACCCTGGACAACGGTATACTCATACGGCAAAAAGTCTATTAACCGGGAGTTGACTTCTGACTTCAAAATACCATGGCACGACTGCTTGTCATATTCGACCGCTACCATAGTACTCATCTTACCTTTTTCTCTGCCTCTGTGTCTGTCTCTTTTACAACTGTAAACCACTCTTCTGTTCCCCACCCATCGACTTTCTGTTACTTTGACGTTCCTTCCCTCTGTGAAGCCCGAAGTCAGCTAAAGGGCTTATGATAAAACGCCTGCCATTTGAGATAAATAAATAAATTTTCAGCAAGACGGGGAACACCCACATTGCCATCACGATGTTAGGCAATTCCTTGATGGGGTCATAACAAATTGGTGGATTGGACAATGAGGTTTTGTTGAATATCCTCCCCGTTCACCAGATCTCACACCACTGGATTTTTTTCTCTTGGGGATACTTAAAAGACAAAGTCCACGCTACGAAACCAGCTACAGTCGTTGAATTAAGAGGAGTCATTAAGCATGAATGCGTCCGAATCCCAAGTGAATTGTTTAATTGTGTGTGCGATTTCCTTGCTTGGCGCTGTCAGCAGTGTCTGGATCCAAATGGGCGTCAGTATAAGAACATGCAGTGTAAAACATTAAAATTGCACTTTAAAAAATATTTTTTCGCTTTGAAATATTAAAATTCTAATCGGATGCTACGTTTACAATTAGGTTCAATGGGTATATGTTTTTGGGATCATTTAATTACCATTTTATTGGTATCTCCGTTTCCTGTTGGTGCCCAACTTAGCCAATGACGCCAATTAATATAATTATGTTAACCCGCTTAGTCACCCATACATGATGATGTGCTTCACGTACTTTAAAATTTCCAATTTGGACTAATTAGTTCTCCTTCAGACGCTTCCGTCTGATTTCCAGCCTTTTTCCCCCACTAGTTTTAGGACTAGTAGGAAAAGATGAGTGTGTAAATTCACTGTGAAATGACTTCATTCAAGTATGAAATCATTTCATAATCGGGATGAAATTAGCTAGCAAGACAGTTCAAAATCGATTAAAAATTATTTTTCAGTGAATGCTTAGTCAATTTGTAATGCCTTTTATAATAATTATAAGATAAGCGATATGTAACGCATCAGCATATTTGATTGTATTCGTTGCTACTTCCATAAATTTTAAATTCGAAATTCTTTTTGTTTAATTAAAATCTGTTATGCTTAACGAAGTCGTGCTACCAAGCCGTCATACCGTGTTTGGCCAGGAATTAAAAACCCGAAACACATTTTTTTCGTAAAAAAGTTTATGCAAGTAAAAAATAAAAGTTTTGATTTACAAATTAACTTCAAATTTTTAATTTAGGTTAAATTTATACTTTGGCTAAAATTAATAGATATCATTAATTAGTAGGAATTATTTTCAATTAAATTTTTTGCATATTATGGCTTGAATGAAGGGAATGATTTATTTTAATTCGTGGTGACCCAAAAGAAAAAAATCAATATGATCAAAAGAGTTCCATGGAGTCAGACTTTTGAATAGCTGGTGCGCCCACGACTCAATTCAAAGTTTCACGAGTTGTTCACGAAGGGCAAAGTCAGAAAGTCCTTCACCCAGTTTTCGACAACTCGGATCGTCTCATTTTATATTTGAGGCCTTTACCCTCCCCCTCCATCCTCCCTTTCTTCCGACTTCATTCATTATTATTTATCCAATGTTCCCAGGAGTATACTTACCCCATAGTCTTTTGATTTGTGGAAGGTTCTTGGGTCCTATTTGGGCCTATAAGGCCATTAGTTTGGCACGGCATGTTGCTGATTCAAACTCGGTACAACGCTTCAAGCAGACTGTTCAACTTTGGTTTCTTAAACTTTCCCCATTTAATTAACAGATTGTGAATGTTTCGATTGGATCTAATGTTTTAAAATTGGAGAAATTACTCAATGCCAGAACTTTCACAATTAAGCTAATAAAATCTTGAAGTGTTGGCTTTGTCCTAGTTACCTATGTACGCTTGACCGTATTGATACCCGAAGAACAGGAATAGTGACCATAGTGACTTATAACGCCAAATAAAATACCTTGTTTTCACCTCGGTTAGATTGAGGGAATTATATAAGCATTATATCAATTTCTAAAGATATATTAGATATATGTTAACAAGAGATTCTTGTTTTAAAGTGGAATGCGAAACAAGCAAGACATCTGTTCAATATAAGGCAGTAGTAAACTGGTGTGAATGTAATGTTGGTAGCACGCTTCTCAATCACAGAACAATATCGCTCAAAGACATGGGTTTACTGACTTTATGGCCAAACATTGA